AGAGAGAGAGAGAGAGAGAGAGAGAAGCAGAGATTGGGAGAGTGTGTGTGTAATGGTATTTGTGATGAGAGAGAGGGAGAGGGAGAGTATGTGTGTCTATAATAGTATGCAATGATAGGGAAGAGTCTATACTGTAATGGTGTGAGAGAGAGGAGAGTGAGTGTGGAGTCGACTCTCGCATATCGAGAGCCAGTGTTGAAGTGTTTTCTCACTGTCTGTATGTATTGAACGCATAACACATACAACAAGTTATTTACATTCAATTCAATACAAATAGCATTGAATAGTGAAATGTGTATTAAATCGCGTCAAATATGGTCGAAGTGGGAGACGGAGTGAATGTATTTGTCAGACCATCACTACCTGAATATCACTCATCCAATTGATCCCAAACAACAATCCCTTTGACCACAATTTGCTCATTCATAACAACTATAGTATTTGTCTCTCATTTGTTTGAATCGTTTTTTGTGTTTAATTTTTGTTTTCAATACAAACCAATGGATCGCTCAAAAAGTGGTAATACTTTTGTGTCATTCAATTGTGAATTGAATTTCAAATACATTTTGTTGACTAAAATATCAATCCTTTTTACTTTTACTCTCTTTTTATATTCATTTTCAATCTTATGATTAGTTTAATTAACTTTTATTTATCATAAAAACTTCTGTTTTTGTTTTGATGGCAAAACTCATTGATCGTACGCTTTGTCTCTGCCATAGGAATGAAGAGCTAATCCCAGACATTGAAGGCATTCATAACAGTATTGTCCGCGATTTGTGTCAATTGTCCACCGATTCAATGGATTCAACGCAAACTTCCCGTAGTATTCATCACAACATTAATAACAATATTCACAATAATCACAATAATAATCATCAAAACTCTTCGCTGTCTAATGTGATTGTATGCGAGGGATGGCTCACGAAATCGCCGCCCGAAAAGCTATGGAAAACTGTACGTTATTTTCAATTATAATTAGTATTTTTCATTTCTAATGTTTCGCTCGTTTGTGTGCTTTTGTTTTGATTGTCACAAACTTGTGGTGACAATCATTTGATGGCTATTTGTCATAACATTACTGTTAGTTAATAAATGAATGATTGCTGTTTCGCTTTCAATTGCATTCACACACATGTCTTTGACCTCTTATTTATAGATATCAATCAAATGCACATAATTTTTCGCACCATTTGTTGTATTTGTTATATAAACCGATGGTTTTCTCATTAATTTGTTTTGTTTGATATGTCTTTTCCAACGACTGATGCAATCGATACATATTTTAGTCGGAATTTATGATAGCAACTAATTTTACAGCCAATTATTTTGATTTGAAATAATAATTATGTTGTAATTTGTTTTGATTTTGTTTTGTGAAATTAGTTTGAATTATAAATTATGTCGATTTTTGATTATAATTTCCCAGTAATTGAGCCAAGAGTTTGGTTAGCAGTAAAAGGCTTATGGTTTCAGTTTCTCGGCCTTGGATTTAGTTATGGGAAAGTCCGACAAAACTATTTTCGTTTCACTATTAGTTGGACTGAAAATTATTTTAAAGTATTTATTATTATTATTAACATAAAAAGTTATAATTAATATGCATTCAAAGGCTTTAATGTCTTGTTATGCATAACAACACAATTTATTATACATTGAATTTGATTTGATTTTTTGTTTCAAACAAAAAACTTTGCATTCATTTGAAGGTCTGTTCACTGGATTGTTATAACAGTTGAGAAACGGTTAGAAGCGTTACATTTAATTATATTTTAATGTTTGTTGTTTCAAATGGCACTCAATTGTCGTTCAATTGTGTTCACACAAAACCAACTATTAATAACATATTACAGAAATTCAATCCGTTTTCCTGTCCTTTCCTCCAATGTCTCAATACATAAGAAATCTATCGCTAATTCTGGTTGTGTTTGACATTCAATCAAAAATATGTGATAGCATTGCACACAAACATAGGCTTATTATAAGATTACTTAACGTATCAAACAATCTCTTTCTGTCGATCGCCGGCTCTTTATGTTCAGTAACTCTTAATAACTGATAACTCGATTGTCGCCTAATTATTGTTTGCAAACGACATAAATGTAAGCAATAATTAATTGATTTTCATTATGTTATGAGCAGTTGTTTTGGGTGAAGAGTGTGTTGTTTTTAAGGGAACCGTTAGGTTTAAGGCCTACAGTGAAGTAATAATGATAATTACACCCACTCTCCCAACACATCCACTTGACTTGAAAAACCACCCAAAACTCCATCCATTTCGCCATATAATCTCCTTTTGATGCAATATTTGTCAATATTTCTATATTAATGGCAAAACACATACAATAAATTTTCTACCATTCAATTAGTGCTCAAATGAATGCCATTTTTATCCTTTATGTTTATTAATTTTACCACTATTTCAATGATTAACTCCTGAATTGAATGGTATGTTTGCATGTGTGGAGTGAGTCACTCATCTTCTATGCCATACAAACAGTATATAAACAGAGAGATAGAGAAGAAAAACTTTTTTTGTTATTAATTGCTATAAAATGATAATAACGTTAATTGCAAAAGAATGCTATAATTATTATTATTGTCTCTATTGTGAAGCCTTCCAGTTATGAAGTGAATGTAATAATACGTAAACATATGTAATAAATATAAAATAACTGATGGTTTAAAAAGTCAACCGATTGTGTGTTGTTTTGTTGTGTTGAGCGAAAAGGTTTTGTCAGTCAGGGCTTCAATTCAGGCCAACAAATCGTTTGCGAAAACTGGTCTTTAGTGCGAATTGATTGCATAGCATTGCATGGGTTTGTTGTAAAGGTTGGACAGGTATTGCTAATTAGCATAAAATACATTTACTGTTATGAAAAAACTGTGTGCTCTAAACCAGACTTAATCTCTCGTCTAATTATTATCAATTTTGGTAAACCTTTTGGCTTTTTTGTCTCTATCTCTTTGCTACTCAACTCTTAAACTAAATATTTTTAAAACTCTGCACTCTTTGGATGCTTAGAAATGGGGCCGCCGTTGGTTTGTGCTGAGACTCTCGGGTCATATCCCCGGCCAATATGTGCTCGAGTATTACGCCGACGCCACTAAGAAGAAGATTAAGGGAACCATCGATTTGGATCAATGCGAACAAGTAATGCTATTGTCTTTCAATTATTAAAACGACACGAGACTAATGTATTGTAATTATCTCTATGTTTAACCATTTGTACGGTTAGGTCGACGCTGGCCTTCAACTCGAGAGTAGAAAAGATAATTTCCAGCATATGTTTGATGTGAGGACTTCTAAGCGTACATTTTATTTGGTGGCCAACAGTGAGAGTGAAATGAATCGATGGGTTGAATGCATTTGTTCTGTTTGTGGCCTCAAAATACATGTGGAAGAGGGACAGGACGACAGGTATTCGCCACAACCGAGTCAGGAGTTTGCCTTCAGTGCCTCCAATAATAATAACAATGTTTCGTCGAATAACACGAATACGTCGACCGGAGTGTCGTTTACGGCCACATCGACGGCCATAACGTGTGCGCCGACGTCGAGCACAACTGTGTCGACCAATACATTAACCAAATCTAATAAAAACTCTGTGAATGTGAATAATATGAAAAATAACTCAAAGACCAATACAGAGAATACGTCCAATACTCGCATTTCGGTGACACACATCGAGGGCCCGTCGGGTCCTTATATACCAATCAGTGAGTGCCACACAGGAAAGCCTATCAACGGAAGTTTGACTGATTTGGATGCTGTGCCACAATTGCCGTACAAACTGAGCCGAACTGTTTCCGATGATTGCTATGATATCCCGCGTCAACTCAATCCACAGATGGACTCTAATGACAACATTAGAGGCAACGATCTGTTAGATTGTGTGCCAAAAGCGCCCAAAAGTGCCACAAATAATCACTCGAAAGAAGTGCGAAATTCTGATTCAACGGTATATAACGCCCCGCGAGTCAATTGGAGTACATATCCGCGCGACTCACCCGAAGCCCTCGCATTCAATGCCAATGACGGCACCCGTACTTCAGTGCGGAGTTGCAACGCGTCGGTCGACGTGACGGCCAGACATTGCAGTGTAAATGATTCCGGTTTTGAAACCCATCGCTCGTCGTCTCCGCTGAGCAGTGATTTCAATCGCGACTCAATTCAAAGTTCGGACAGTAGTGCACACTTTCAACCGCCTCCGCGCCCACCAAAGCCTCCCAGTCTTAGGAAGTCTAAGAACAAGTCAGAGAGCAGTGGTTCCCTTCCGAATGTGTCCCAATTATATGACGTTCCCATCACTGCTGTCGAGCAAAACTTTACGAAACCAGAGGACGAGAATTCGCTCAAACATAAGTCGTCCGAATCGCCCAAATCTCCCGACGATTTGTATGACTTTCCACGAATGAACGTCCGCTCAGACGCCGCGACAGCACTGCAACCAAATGGCAGCCCAGATAGAGAAGTGCCGCTAATCAACGCAACGGTTCCCATAGCTTTCGATCGGTCGAGTATGAAGTCATCGAAGAAACACTCGTACACTAACGCACCGGCAGGTTATTTCACCAACAAGGAGTCCGTCTTCATCTACGAATATAAGCCTACCCTTACCTCTGGGGCCGTCGAAGACAATTCAAACGCCTTCGCGACCACCGCTGACTCCCATCAGGATCGGAGTCCCGTCACACCCAACTCAGCCTCTTATAGCAATTCAATCATTTCTAGTTCCTTACCAAACAGTCTGGTCGTCGGCCCGCCGGCCGTCCACAGAGAACTCAAGCCCCGGCGCAAGGGTTCCGACAGCGACAGCGCAACACTTCCATCGCCTACTATGAAGGCGCCTCCCATGCAATTACAACCCCCGCCCGCACTCACACGCATTCATAGTGCGCCCACTAAACGCAGTTTTAGAAAACCCAGGTTTGAATTATTTGATTTGCAAAACCATAAATGGATTTTTATTGATTACAACATTTATTTGTTTTAACAGAACTCCCGGACACTCTCAGGTGACAATCAACGGAACGCCGCCGAGAATACCGTCGCGAGTGTTACAGAATAATCACAACCGCGAGCCCTCCACTTCCGAAGACGACGTTAGCCTCAATGGGAACGGAAGTCGACGTAATTCAGCCAACGATGAGGTATTTTGATGTTTATTTTTGTTAAAATTGTTTTTAAAATTGTCTTTTAATGCTCAACAGGTTAAGGGAACAGTAGTGCCGCCGCCTCGTCGGCCCTTCGAAGGCAGTGAAATACAATATCTAGATCTAGACCTGGAGTCGGACACTAACTCCCAGAGTCCGCGAACACCTAACGAACACAATCACCAGAGAAGCGGTTCGACGCTATCTAATAAAGAGTTGTCATTGAATGCGAGTCAAAGCCAAGCGGCCAACCCTTCGGGATCGACGGTTTACAAGACCGTAGACTTTGTGAAAACGTCTGCTTTTAACAAAATGCGTGTAAATCAGGAATCGTATAGAAATTCAAAGGATAAATGATAACATTTGGTTAACATTAGCTTTGATATAAACTCATAAATAGAGAGCATAAGTAAACACAATTTATACGATATTTGCCTTAAAAACGTTTTACTGTATATATAAATATGAGGTCTTATAATATAAATATAAGTATTTTTGCGTTAAACTATTAGTGCCATAAAAATGAAGTTTTGAAAAATAGTTTAATATAAGTGAATGAATATGAAGTAAACACTTCTTCTTCTTCTTTACACAGTTTCTCTTATTCTTCGAGAGTTTTGTTTTAAATCAACTGATTATTCAATAAATTTGATTATTTACCGCTTTTTAATTATTGGACAAACGATTTAGAAATACAATTAATATTTTGTTGTTGTATTGATTGAATCGTGCAATCAATCACTTCTGTGATCATTATTTTCATTGAACTTTTAAAAAGACATATATTTCTTTATACTTAACTTTTAATCAATAAAAATGATTTTATTATATATTAACAAATGTTTTTATTATTTGCAATCATTAATACCTGTTATTTGGACTCGACTTCAATGGATCGATAATTAATTAAATGGTAGTAACATTTGACATGTAATACAATCAATTGAGAGCTTTTAGATTTAGTCCAAAGCCATCATATATTTGTTGAGTAAAAGTTTTTTTTCAATGTTTTGGTCTAACGAGACGATAATTATCCACTATTTTAATGATATAATTCATCGCTTGTTCTGTCGTACACTGTATTGTGAAATAGTATCACAAAACTAACCAATGATTACATAACATAACGTAAATCTGAAATTTTGGGGCTATTTTTGCGTTCATATTGTTTATATTTATAACACTTGAAAAGACACTATTATTTAGTCGATTATTACATGCAATCGACTGATAATTTATAAGACACTAACTATATTTGCATTTCAATCCAAATACGCTATCAATATCTGGTTTGCCGTAAAAGAAATGCTAATTATAAATATTACCGTAAATACATTGAAATAATCACTCACTTATTGTCTACTCATTTGCATAACTCATCCATTTCTTTAACTTTAATGATTTAATGCTTTATACAATTGAACCGATTCTGGCTTTATATATAGGATACACTACAGTATATCTTACAATTATTTTGCATTGAATTGTATTTTATGGTAATTTAATGTCATTTATCATGAATGAGTATTATATAAGTTATATGGCAACTATTAACAGTATATCTAAAATTTAAGTGAACTAAAATATCCTTGATATTTTGGTGAACTATTCGTACTCTTCGTTAGAATTGCATTCAAATCAAATAAAAAGTTTAATTTAGTCTTAAATTAAGACATTATAGGAGTTAATGATTAACTGGAAAATTCATATAACAATAGTTTCACTCAAAACATGTAATAACTATTTAAACGCAATTGATTTGACAAAAGTGTTTAAGTTTTGCTGAAAGTACTGCAATACATGGTTAATAATAATTATTTATATATTTAATGCATTCTGTATTTGATTTAAACAATAAATTTATTCAAAGCTAACGACGCGTTCAGTTCTCGTTAAGACTACTCCGCCTAAACTTTTTGCTCAAAAGAAAATTTGTTTTTAATATAACATTAAATTTTTAGTATTTTTTGCAAAATAATAGTCGGATTATTAATCGCATAGAAAGCAATTATTTTGTGAAAACCAATGGATTGGAAATTAGATTATTTAAGATAAAAGAAACGCTTGTTTTGGCGCATAACTAGTCGTTTCTAACGAAATGTTCACAAAAATACTTTAAATTGTTGTTAATTTGTAAAAAATGAGTTATAATTAGAAATAACTTTCTTTTTGTATTTCATACGCAAATAAAACAAATACTTTTAAAATCAATAGTTATTAAAATGAAACTAATGTTATAAACAAAAGATAATTTATAAACATTTGCAAAACTAAAACTAAATTAATTTAAACAGTTTTTTAATTATAAAACTGCTTTAATTAACAAAGATCTTTTTGTTATTACATAATCATTGTGTAACTTTTTATACACTAACAGCGATTTAAATTATAATTAAAACATTAAAAAACAAATTTGAGATTTAGTGGTCAAATGAGTGCTTATTTCTAATTAAAACATTCATATGATTTGAGAGCCCATGGATTGGATTCGACGCTATTTTTAACTTCAAAACCAGTGATGAATACGAGATCTTTAAAAATCAGAGTTAAGTCTCGCGTTGACCCGTATTTTATACTTATATTAAAATTAAAATTGAATTAATTTTACCAAAAAACTAAGTTTTACTCTTTATATTTATATATAGCAATTAAAGTGTTAAACCTTTAGAGTTAACAACAAAATTCATTTATATTTGTTGTGCGAAAGTTTTCATTACACTGTTTTTGTGTCGGCTTATCATAAATTCAATTCACAAATTTTTAGTTATCAAACATTTTTGTTTTGATTGTTTCGACAAAAATACATGTTTTTGTTAGTTTGAAATAAATGAAATTTGTTTTATTTTTATTGATTTTTGTTTAAATTAGGACTTCGTGTCTGCATTTAATCAGAAAAAAGTAATTTTACTTTTTTCATGTATTAAAAGAGTTATTTATACAAAACTTTTTATACAATTTACCGATTTATACGACTGTCTGCTCTTTTGTGAACACAAGTATGAATCGGTTTTTATATACGAAAACACTTTATATTTACTTTGAATCAAATCATAAAGACTTCCTGTAATTAATTTGAATTTTTCTAAACATATATTTCAATTGTTTTTAACGTGTGTTTTATGTGAAGAGTTATTATGATTTTTATTGATTTTTACCAAAAAACAAAAATATTTGCTAAAATAGTTTGACATTTGCTTTAATTTGTGCGTTCAGTGAAGTTCTTAAACATATAATAAGTGTTTCAAAACTTTTAAATATACAATTCATGTGTTATATAAATATGACATAAACTAAACAACAAAACAGTCAATACATATCTCTGTTTGGAGGAAGAAGAAGAAGAATAAGTAGTAAACACTTAAGAGTCGACAGTAATAACTGGTTCGCTGAACAATAACACGATATTTTCGCTCAATTCTCGTACAAATTCCGCACTTCTTTGGCCCAAAGCGACGAAAATTGAGTCAAAAATTGTTTTCGGTTGTCATCTCTGATGAAAGAAGTTTTTCATCAAATATTAGCAATAATTTTTTTGAACTTCAATTACTTGGTGTGCATTAAGAAAAAGAAATACTATATTATATACACTATATTGTAATGTGTTCTTGAGTTTACGATACGCTTCCATTGAAATTTGTGCCTAAATTTATGGTTCAATAAGTCTTTTACTTCACCAAAAACTTTGTGCCAAACTTATTGTCGAAAACTCTTTGACAATATAACACCAGTTCTCATGTGAAAGCCGTTTAACTGTTTGTTAATATTCACTATATTTTGCAGATTATTACATATAGTTTTACAAGCGTTTAATTTTCGCAAATACTTTTCAATTTCTTAACCAAATTGTGACGAAAATGTAATTTTTTAGACAGTTTTTCTCATCAAATCAATTGGCGATTCGTCTGTCAGTCGTCTGTTTTGTGTGTTTAAGCAATTTGTCTGAATTGTTGATAAAAAATGCATTCAAGAGAGAGAAGAGAGTTCGGGAGAAAGAAAATGAAGATTAAGAACAAATGGGAAGTAGTTTTGGTGCTCATCATTATTGCGGCCGGAATTGTCATCACAACTATAGCCGCTGTCAAAGCTAAAGGTATTTTAATTTTAATTTGTTACTAATAACTTTATTATTAAGTTTATTAACTAATTGCATAGTTTGAAAATTCATAGGCAATTCATTATACTTTTTATGCATAGCAAAGCAAACTTTGTAACTTTACAATGTTACGTTGTCAATGTATCTTAAATTTAATTTTAAAAAATATAAATTGACGTTTAATTTGAATTAATTAATTAGTGTTTTCATAACTTTTAATTTGCATTCAATGTTAACATAATGTAATATTATTATAGTTTACAAACAAAGTGCGAGTCCTTCAGTGGTTTTATGGTTCAAATATTTTAAATATTTATATAAAATAGATTTTTTACATTAAAACATATAATTTTGATTTGATTATTGCATTTCAACAAACATTTAAATATATTCTAATAATAATAACGTTAATCAAAGCTTAATGAATGGGCATTAATACAAAAACCTTTCGGCATATATAGTGACAATGTATTCAAACTTTTCTTT